ATCTATCTATCTATCTATCTATCTATCTATCTATCTATCTATCTATCATCTATCATCTCTATACTATCAATCTCTATTATCCATCTATCTGTCTGTCTATCATCTATCTATCTATCTATCTATCTATCTATCTATCATCTATCTATACTATCAATCTCTATCATCTCTCTCTCTCTCTCTCTCTCTCTCTCATCTGTCTATCCTATCAATCTCTATCATCTATCATCTATCTATCATCTATCTATCTATCTATCTATCTATCTATCTATCTATCTATCTATCTATCTATCTATCTATCTATCATCTATCTCAATTTATTTATAAACTTTATTGGCTCATCTTACATTTCCTTGCACAAAACAAGAAAAAAGGATCAAAACTTTATTTTTATCTTTTTTGACACTTTGCCTTCCCTTGCAGACATCGGAGAAATGACTGCAGCCTGTCCTCTATGTCTTAGTTTTTATATTTTGGAAAATTAAAACAAATAAGAAAATACAGGTTTCCAGCCAAAAGATAAAGGCACTCGCCTCCATAGCAATACCTTCAGTTTTCCTGAACACTTCCACCAAACTCTGGGCTTCCTCTTCGATCTGATACACCAGAGCGCTCTTTCCCATGCCCAGGGTCTTCAGAGTCGCCATTGAAAATCGTCTTTGATGCTTCCAGTTCTGGCCCGAGGAAAGCAGAATCCCTGATGACACAGAACCACCGAATGACAGATTATTGGCCTTATTCAAATCTTTGGAACTGACAGAAGGGCAAAATACTTTTCTCGGAATATTGTGATCGAAACAGCAATAGCACTTAGATTTATATACCGCTTCATAGTGCTTTACTCTGAGCAGTTTTACAGAGCCAGCCTCTTGCCCCCAACAATCTGGGTTCTCATTTTACCGACTTCAGAAGGATGTATGGCTGAGTTAACCTGGAGCTGGCCAGGATCGAACTGCTGACAGTCAGCAGAATTAACCTGCCATACTGCATTCTAAAGACTGCGCTACCATGGCTGATCACATCTGTAATGTAAAGCTGCCTCTGAAACTGGAAGTC